TAGGCCTATTCTTATGTTTTTGGGGGACTTCAGAAAACTTTATGGAGCTATTTACATATCATAAAACTCACCCATTTTAAGTGTACTGTTCGGTGAGTTTTAGTGAATGTATATACCGTTGTGCATCTAACACCACAATCCAGTTGTAGAAAACATCCATCATCCTTAAAGCTATCCTCGGGTTTGTTTTATCATTTGCTTTTAACAGGTAATTTTTCTTCTCTGTGCTTTTGAAGAAAGCCTGGTATTATTTAGTCACATTAGTATTGTCCCAACTAGATGTTAATATCAAAAGTCTTGTTCTTAAGAATTAAACTGAGGAAAGCAACAGAATGTAGTATTTCTTAATCCTGCAAAGCAAAAATATCCTGCTACGTTTTTATTTTCTTTTATATTGTGTTCTGGCAAGAATAGAGCTTACTCTACAAAGCAGCTGAAGGTAATTATCTCGCATGTGTGCTTCTATGAAGGCAGGTCTAGCAGAAAAAGTCATTGTATGCAAATAAGTCTCTAGTCCTCTGATAGAATTAAAAATGGGAGAGTCACAAAGGTTCCCATTGTAGTGGCAAAGGCACACCTGTCTGCCTTTCCTCTCTCTTAATTTATGTACAAAAGAAGAAGCCAAATGCAGTCTGGGAGGATGAAGATGTACTCAAGGCTTTTCCTCGGATAGGTGGAGAGTAGGCAGAAAAGATGACTCCCAGTGAGAAGGGCAATGGGCCGTGGACAAAAGACTTCTGTTTCCCCGGCTGGCTGAGGGAGTGCATTGACAGTCTTCCCAGGAGGGTGGCTGCAGAGGGCTGAGCCTGCAATCAGGCATACCTGAGCCTGTGTTTCTTCTACACTTACTTAACAGGATTACTGCAGCAAGGTCTTTCTCCAGAGGGCCTGACCCCAGGTCTGGAGATAAAGCCAAAATCAAATGAACACTTGGAGTGTGGGTGAATTTCCCGCCAAAATATAAGATGGCTCTGTCTTTTGGTTTTGTTCCATCCACCAAAAGGGTGGATTACAAACAAATATTTGGTAATACGCAGTTACAATCGGCCCGAGTTTACACGTTTCCCGCACTCCACCGCAAATCTATATGAACCGAGTTAAAGACGGCTCCCTCGGAGTACGCGCAATTCACGCGAGCCGACTTAACTCGTTTCCCGCACTCCAAGTGTGAAGTATTGACTGGTAACAATGAATTCTATTTTGGACATTTTAAGATGCATATATCCTGACATGCCCTGAATTTACCTTCCTCCTCCTCTCCTTGATTTCTTACCACCTTCCCAGTCTCAGAGCCACAGCACAAATGCACCTGGGTTATCAGTCTCACAACAGTCTCCTTGCCCCCATCTCTCCCCACCATGCACTGCGCACAATTCTTCTTGACCGCACTGCTCCAAGTGTGTCAAACATTTACAGGAACTCGTTTAATCTTCACAACAACCCTATGATTGTCGGCAGTTCACAGGTGAAACTCATGTCATCCATGTTGCTACTCTACTGCCCCCGCCTACTCGACTGCTGTATTAATGCTACACTGCACTGAAAAGCCACATTCTAACACCAAGCACATTCTTTCCTGTAGCCCTTAAGAGGGCAAAGCAAGCTGGGGAAGGGGAGGGGAGCTGACATTTCTGGTGGATGGTGTTTCAATGCTTTTGCTTGTACCTTTCCTTCCCCTTCTGATGTACACCCCACACCGGTGGTCGGCAAACTCATTCGTCAACAGAGCCAAATAACAACAGTACAACGACTGAAATTTCTTTTGAGAGCCAGATTGTTTAAACTTAAACTATATAGGCAGGTACACTGTTATTAAGTTAATTAGGGTACTCCTAAGGCTTAGGAAGAGCCACACTCAAGGGGCCAAAGAGCCGCATGTGGCTCGCGAGCTGCAGTTTGCCGACCACGGCCCCACACCAAACCTCCTCGGACAAAGTATTTCTAGTTTGCAAGGATCAGCTAAAATATCGGTTCTGCCTGCAGTTGTCTCATCTTCCCAGCCTCCTCTGCAGCCAGGCTCTCAGAGGAGCTTGTTTTTCCCCCTGTTCCAATCTGTGCACACACCTTACATTCCTACAAACTTACAGGAGCTTTGTGCTTTTCATCTCAACCACAGCTGTGCCCCGGCACTGCAGGTGCCCAGGACGCATTCGGTCAATTTAATTCCTTCCTGAGGAGCCAAACTTGGAGTATTTCCTTTGAAAGAGCTGCATGAAAATGTCAAGGACTCTGAGCCCAGGTCCTCACTTTACAGCTGAGGCAGGACAATGGGTGATGGGACTAACATCACCTTTGCTGGAACCTCCCAGAGCAAGCATGTCAGTGCCACAAGTTCTCAACCCCGCCGCGCAATCAAAGGGCCTGGGCTGTTTCTAAAAATGCCGAGTCACCCTCCCACTCCCACCTCAATGAATCAGCATCTCCTGGGGTGGGACCAGAGGCATCAGCAAGTTTAGAAGCTCCCCAGATGAGTCTATGCCACAGCCTGGGATGAGAAACTGGGCTAGAAATCAAGCAAAATCTGAAACTCAAAGTGTGCTCTTCCTTTAGGCTAAAAAGAAGCTGAGAGCCAAATTGGGGGCAGCCCTTCAAGCAATTCCAGTAACTTCAGAGTCCAGATCACAAGTTCAAATACCTTTAGAGTCCAGGCCAGCAACGGAAAGGAAGAGGTCTGGGGGGGGGGGGCGGTTATTGCGGGAGACCAGACAGTCCCTGTCCTCTCCAGTTGCCTGTGGACCAATGGAAATACACCCCAGTGATGTGCCAGATCTTTTGACTTTTCAAGAGAAGCTGAAGAAATCGGTATTTTTATATGAAACTGCCTAATTTAAAAAACTTTGACAATTGATGGGGGGAAAAACTATATTTATCAATAAATAACATAATAAAGTAAAAAAAAAATTGGGGGCAATTTTAAAAAAGCTTTGAGTTGGTCAAACAGAACATGCTCCCAGGCCTCCGTGTGGCGCCCAGCAAGGACTTCCCGGTATTCATTTGGGATCCAATTTCATTCCTGTTCCCATCCCTTTTCTTTTCCCACTTTCTAAGTGGCCAACTTTTTCTCATTTTATATTGCAAGAGTCCTTGTTGGAACAAGCTATAACAAATTAGAAAACAATTTTAATTCTGGTGCATATTAACTTAATTGCTTATGTTTAAATTTAGCTCTTTTACTACTAAGATGTTAAAAGAGAAAAAAACTCATGGATACAGAGAACAGTGGAGTGATTGCAGAGGTGGGTGGGTGGAGGTGAAAGAGGGCAGGGGGGGATAAATGGTGATATAAAAATATATATAAAATAAAGATAAATAAATAAATAAATAAATAAATACAAAGGCAACAATCAAAGCAACAGTCCAGGATCCCTTGCACCATTTCTCTCACAGGTAAACTGGATGTGCAAAATCCTGATTTATAAGCCTACCTGTAAGAAATCATCTTAAAAAGAAACAGATTGAAGGCAAGATGCTGTTATCACTTTTAACGGGGGCCTGAGTTATTTCTGCTGTATTTGAGACTTCTTCCCAACCCCTAAAGAATTCAAATACCTTATGAGCTACTTTACCCATCTTTTCTCAGACTGTGATGGGGTGTGACACCAAAAGCTGGGCGCCTAAGGAAACCACGGTGAGGGAGAAAAGCGGGCGTAGTTCCTTTCCATGTCACCACAGCTGCTTCTCCACCCACATCCACCAAAGCCCAAGGGACTGTCAGGACTTGAAGGGATTACGAGGACAGGTCCAGCAAGGGCTCCCAGCTCTCTCTTGCCCCGTGAGGTGTGTACAGTGTTGGGTGTTGGAAGAGGACTGACTCCTCCTGTGTGGGACAGGGATTAGAAGGATCTGCTCCTACAGCCGAATGCAAGGGGAGATTTTCCCAGGAGAGGCCACAATCAACATGAGGAGGGTGTGTGCCCCGTGGAGGTGTGCCATTCCACTCAGGAGAGTGAAATTAGGAAGAGGATGCTGCGGAAGATGGGCCTATCTTAAAAGGCCAGAAAACGTCCTCTTTCTTCATTATACCCTACTCAACCAAGTGCATTTCCCCACACGTATTTGAGCCTTAACACTGGAGTCACAATGAATTCATATACATTAGGCTTCCTTTTCAGTCTAGTCTGGGTTGCCCCAGGAATATTACTTTCATCCAATTTAAACAAGAGACTGTCACGCAATATGCTTTCATCTTGAGATTTAAAATCAACATTTAAAAAAGTCAAACGGCCCTAGCCGGTTTGGCTCAGAGGACTGAAGGGTCCCAGGTTCGATTCCGGCCAAGGGCACATGCCCGGGTTGTGAGCTCGATCCCCAGAAGGGGGCGTGCAGGAGGCAGCCGATCAATGATTCTCTCATCACTGATGTTTCTATCTCTCTCTCCCTCTCCCTTCCTCTCTGAAATCAATAAAATTAAAATAAAATAAAAGGTCAAACGACAAAATTAACTGAAGCACAAAACCAAATAAGGGAATTAAAACTTTAAATTAGATTGCCACAAAGACTATGAAGGCTGTAAATAATCAGTGATGATAAGGACAGTTCTTCTCATCTCAAAGGGCTGACAGACCTGCAGAGACCTTCCCAAGAAAACGGTGGCAGAGAAGGAAGGTAGACCAACCGGCCACACTCCCACCTGAGAGCTCACCAACTCAGGTCCTCATCCAGTTTCAACCAGCCACCAAACCAGACTAGATACTAGGCCTGGGACAAAAGAAACCGACCAGGGTCCCACCTCCTCTCTCCCTGGTTGGGTTGCTAACAAGCAGAGAAAGGAGAAAGGAGAGAGGCCATGAAAGAACTTTCCAAATGGCCTGTGACAATAACCCTCCCTGGACAACCACATTATATCAGGTCACCTCTCCCTGGAACCCAAAGCATCTAACAGACACTATCACTGTAAGCCTCCCTAGAGTACGTGATGGGAAGAAGGCAGATACCAAAACCTCCACTTAGAGGAAGAAGCAAGCAAGCACGTGTGTGTGACACAGTGAGAGCCGCCTGTTCATCCAGGCGGGGAGAAAACTGCAAAGGGCATAACAATATAAGACTGGCAACTGGCAGGGCTCAATCCCAGATTCGTAAGTAGGCACTGTCCGGCATTTTGCTCTGTATCAGATGCCCAGCATTCTGCCAGCACAAAGCCGGTGTGCTGCAAGTACCTGCTGAACACAGAGCATGTTGACTCTATGCTCAGCACTATGCAAGCCACGATGGGCACACCGAGATGGAGATGACACGGAATCCTGCCTCACAAGACCTCAAAGCCTACATATTCGTGAGGTACACAACCATAACTCTTACCTAAAAGCAAGTGATGACAACTACTTAATAGAGTGCAAAGCTCCCTGGGAATAATGAAGAGGAAGGGTGACTTTCCATTGGGAGTATCTGAGAACACCTGTTGGAGAAGGTTAAGAGAAGAAGCAGGTCTTGACGGACAAGAAGGGCTTATATTAATAGGTAAGGGAAAGACGTGCAGAGGAAGAGAACAGTGCTCTGAGCAAAGCCACTGAGAGAGGAACAGGACAGAGTGGGACTGGGGAACGGCAGCTGGGAGGGTGCAGGGGACCACACCTCTTTCATAGCTCTTTGGACAGACCTGGTGTCTTGCTACTTGGAGCCGTGGAAGCTTGAAAGGCTCACCATGATTTCTGCATTCACGAGGACGGGAGAGACAGAAATAGACCCTGGATGCTATCAAAATAAGGCCAAAACCAACAGCTCAGAGTTAAGAGAAGGGAACAGAGATTAAAGTGAGTGAAAGATAAAATGGTTGGAGAGAGAGAAAAAATAACAAAAGTATAGAAAGCTGGATGATCCTTAATCTATCCTTAGCAAAACAAAATCACAAAGCAGTGAGAATGAGGCAAAGACAGACCAACTTTCGCAGGCCCTGAGGACGAGAGCGTTCCACCAGAGGGAAACAGCTGCCTTTACTGCCACACACACGTACGTGCAGTCACTGAAAAGCCAGCTACTGAATGAATGAACTGGCTGAACTGAAGTATTTCTCCCGAGTTCTGAGTTATTCCTCCTGGGAGTCCCCAAATGAGACCCCAATTTAAATGCACCACTCTTTGGGAAGTTTACTTTTTCATCATCCTAGTGTCCAGAAGACAGACCACCAAAGAATAACACCCCAGAGGAAAAGCCCCCGGCTCGGGGTCCCCTCTACCTTTCTGAAGATGTTCTGGTCTTGGGTTTCTTCACTTAAAAGCAGTATCCAGAGGTGGCGTAAGTTCCAGCAGCTTTCTAGTGCCCAAAGAACGTCTGTGCACCCTTCCTCAGAGATCACACTGTGTGTGTGTGTGTGTGTGTGTGTGTGTGTGTGTGTGTGTGTGATGCAGGAGAGTGCAGAAGGCAGTGCTCAGGGTCTGCTGGGATTCCTTACGGGACAGGCTGGCAGAGCTTGTGATGTGACCGCTTCCCCTCACACGGCCAAACAGCTGTCCCTGGGGCAGACGTGGAAAGCGTGGTGCTAATGGAAAAATCTGGTGGCACAGGACTCGGGTGTTTTGCAATGTTTTCCTGTAGGCTGCCGCTGCATTGGTCTGACATGCAAACCATTCCCTCCTCCCCTCCCGGCCTACAGACTTCCAGGTCTCCACCCCGAGTGCTATAAAAACCAGTGTCTCATCGGGCTGATTCACCCCTGGAAGGGGCGGAGTCCTGGTGAGGGTGCATGCTGCATGGAGCCGGCAGGTCTTCTGCCTCCTCTGCCAAGGCCAGAGAAGACAAACCCGTCTTTGTCCTCACAGTCGGAGGGGACCACGCCAAACGGGCTGCCTCAAAAACATGTCCCTGGTGTGCTCCTGATCTGAATAAAGCATCCCAGCCACTGGATCTGAAATGCTGGGGGAAAGGAAATAAAATTGCCGTACCTTGGAGGGTATGTGGAATGAGATGAGGGGATACTGAGAGCAGAGAGAGTGAGTGTGAACTATTTTGGGTGTTAGTTATAAAAACGCCAGCGCTGATGCACACAGACTAAGGTTTTAAAGGTATGAAGCAGCTGGATTATGGATTATTAGAACTGTCACATCTGTCTCCCCTTTTTATATTTCTAGCCTGGGAATATTCTCCCTTTCTTCTTCCAGGAGACTCTTAAATGTGCCTCCCGGAGAGAAACACTCCTAGTGCCTTAGCCTGATGGGCGGTGGATGCCAGAGGAAAGGGCACCAGAACATGGGCAGGGATGGGAAAACCGGGCAGGACAAGCTGAATCAATGTTTTCCCAAACTTATCTGCAAAGCTGATGGGATTTATCAACTAAACCAAACACTGTGAGACTAAATTTAGAGGATCGCATGACTATCTCTTGATGCTACCTAACAGAAATCTCGTCCAAAATATAAAAGACCCCCTTCGAGAGAAAACTTTTCCAAGAAAGTAAAATTGTGAAAAAGAACCTAAAATAATCTCAGTACGTGTGACTATTAACAGCTAATGACTTCCATGAACTATTACTCTAGTACCAGCTCCTGTAAGTAAAGATTCACATGTCAAATTGCAACCACAGCCACAACCTTTGATCCAGCTGGGAGAAATGTCACGGACCACTCAAACGGGGCTTGTCACAAACAGGACGGAGCAAGAGTAGTACAAAGGTTTAACTTGCAGGATAAGAACAAACCCCATGACTCCAACAGCGTGTCCCTTGGCCCAGCTCTCCCACATGTCAACAGTTCTGCTTTTCTACCTGTTGGTTAGAAAGGCCTTCTGAATATTATAGAATATTATTTAACCTGAATTTTCAGCCATGGCTTGCTCCAAGAACTGCTAGGATTAGTCACAGTTGTTTTTTTTCCCAAATCCTCAAAATAGCAGCATGCTTATTATTTTTAAGTTGTGAGATCACAAAGGTTATATATACAAATGGGCCGCGCAGTTTAAAAACTTCTCATTTTCAGGCTTCATAGTGAACTACAACCCCAAAGCAGAACCAGGCTTTGCCTCTAAAACACGAGCATAGTCCTAAAGCATATGGAAATGAGTAAGCCAGTGACAGCTCACTCCGAAAACATCCCGCAGAGAAGCCAGGAGAGGAAAAAGGGAAACACCAATTTATTTTTAATTAGAATTTCGAGACGTGTTGGAATGGCTCTTATCAAATCTGATTTCCTGACTGGGTCTTCCTTGAGGTTTTTATTAGAGAAGTCTCCTCAATGCAATTTTAATTAAAATCTGTTGCCAGAAAAGAGCAAGAATTCACTACTCCTCTGAATTTGGGAACTCTGCTAGTATTTTTCTGCCAGATCAAAACAAACAGCTTTTTTTTTTTAATAGAAAAGGACCCCTGAGCAGAAATCGAGAGCTTCGGTCACTCATTCCCTGAGCCCATACAAACCTTTCTCGGAAACGACACAGAGGAGACGAGCTGGAATTATCCAGCACACAGGAAGAACGCAAACCCTGGAAAAGGAAGCTGGTGAGCTACACTCTGATGGGCTGAGCTGGCTCACCCAAGTCCTTCAAGAAAGAGGGGAAGTGCACAATCAGAAGCCAACGCCAATACTCACGATGGGAAGCCTGTGGGTGAGCAGGCGCAGGACACGCACGTCCTTGGAGGAAGGGCTGTTCTAATCCTCTGCCCCACGATGCAAGCTTAGCGTGACAGCAGCAGCTCAAGTCCTCAACACAGTGGACCTCCCTGTGGGGTTTTCATTTGGTGTTTCTTTCTTTCTTGTTGGCACCCACCAAGCATCTAGGAAGACGTCTCCAACCAGAGGGTGTCTTTGCCTGGCACCTACCCTTCCTATACTTCCTACTCTCGCTGGAAGTACCTGCCTCCGCCTGGCCGGAGAGATAATCACCTGCCTGAAATCAGACGCTTAACCCATTACGACTCGCTCAAGGTCTGGAGCAAGAAAGCGTATCAGGTGAAGCTGGCCTATGGCTTGGATGAAAACCCAAGCCCTGTAAACAGGCAAGCCCCGAGCAGGCAGGGACTCTTGAGAACCCCTGGAGGGGCTGCACGCATCCTGGGGTTTTGTTTAACCAGACAGGCAGGGCACCGAGACCCAGGTCTCCTGTTTGTAGGTAGTCTCGGCATTTCCACCGCTAGGAAATTCAAGGATAACGGCTTCTTACTTAAAAAATGTAACTGTCTTCTCATCCACCATCACGGCGAGAAAATGAATTCTCCCACTGATAAACTTCAGTGTGAAGTTAGCCTTCAATAAACGAACAACGAACAGTTTCTTTTAAAGTTGAAATGCGCAATCTAACGAAATTCAATTATTAAATGCATATAAGATATTAGATATATTTTAATTTGCCTCTCTAAAATAATTCACACTAAGAGAAAATAACTTAGCAACATAACCCCTATCAGGAAGGACATTTTATTCTTAACCATGCGACTTCTGGGTTTTATACATTTTCTGAAATTACATACTCCCCCCCGGATCTGTTTAATCAGAACTTCACGGACACCACACTTCTGATTTTGATGTCAACGGAATGCCGTAAGCAAAGAAAAGAGACTCTCCATATTGAACGTCTGGCTTAGCCATTAACTGTGTGAGCTGGACAAGTCGTGTTTTGTCACCTAAAAGTCGGGCAGGGAGATGGGACAGGTAGAATCTAAAAGACGCCCTCCCTCCTCTAGCTCTCACAGGTCTTTGTTCCACCCTCTCAGCGCTCCCGATCCGCCACTGAACACACCACTGATGGGAGAATGCAAAGCACAAGTAGGAACACACACTGGCTCCTTTTGCACATGGAACCAGGAGACCCCGGAAGGTCATGCCAGCTACCCACAAACCGAAGCAGCCCCGGTTTCTCATCAGCTCACCCTCTGCCTCTGAACCAGCGCCGAGGTGGACGACACGCTGGGGACTCGCCACGGAGAACACACCACCTCTGCTGTGCCCGGAGACTCTCTCCACGGGCGGCCTCAGAAAACACCAGGGTGGTTCCAGCCAGACCAGTCAGTGCAAACTGGTCTTGCACTTGACAAACAGCAGGCAGTTCCTGCTGTCAGGGTCACCGCAGTGGGCTCAGAGTTCTGTTTGAGAAATACTCCTGCCCAGAAAAAATATTTACACAACCGAGAGTGGGCTGCCGGCGTTCCACCTGCGCTGCCAGGAGCCTCTGGCTCCGAGTGACCGGGGGGTACAGTGGCCTTTGTACCTCCTTGAAGATCAGCGTGGAGACAAAGCCTGGAGCCGAGTGACTGACAGGCTCACGCATGAAATGTATTCTATTAATTTAAAATGACAACCGCATTTTCGTGCCATTCAATAAAGACTTTAATAAGTAAATACTGTTATCTGTCTCGGGAGGAAATGTACATATTTAGGCTGTGAAAGAGGGAGAAACAGCAAAAGAGGGCAAAACGGCAAATAAACTAGTAAAGGCAAGTATATTCGCAAAAATAAAAGATGGTGAGGGCAGGCAGAAAAAACCGCTCCATAGAGCTCCTCTACTTGTTTCCTTTAACTGCTGGACTCAGGACAGTAGCACAGCTCCTGCCCCAGTGCCACAGCAACCCTGGCACGACGGCACTGCCGGGTGTTTATTAGATCAGGAGCGCACGGCAGAGGCGGCAGGGGGGCAGTGATGTCCTCTGACATCGGACCTGCACCTTGCAACTTAAAAAGTGTTTTTTATGGCTATTGTTTCATTTTTTTTTCTCACAACAATCCTGTGAAGAAGGCAGGACGGGTATTATTATCTTCATCTGACAAATAAGCTACTTATTATTTGGCTTCTCAAGAGATTCTAAACTCTTAATTAACGTTTCACAACATTAATTAGTGTTTAGAGAGGTATCAATCAGTGCCTCCAGTTTACAACATGATTCAGAAACTCGGGGAAAAATGGACTGTCCCCATCTGAAAAATCTGCAGAAATACAGCAATTTTCCTAACCAAAGACCCCCCTCTCCCATGTACTTCCTAATTATCTATAAGAGAACAGTCACAATCCATTATGATGCTCATTCTCATCACATTAAAAAATGACATTAGGGCCCTAGCTGGTTTGGCTCCGTGGATAGAGCGTAGGCCTGCCGACTGAAGGGTCCTGGGTTTGATTCCGGCCAAGGGCACATGCCCGGGATGCAGGCTCGATCCCTGGTAGGGGGTGTGCAGGAGGCAGCCCATCAATGATTCTCTCTCATCACTGATGTTTCTCTCTCTCTCCCTCTCCCTTCCTCTCTGAAATTAATAAGAACATATTTTTTTAAAAATGCCTTTAGGGTACTCTTAGTGATACTATAATAAAATGTTTTAAATTAATAAAAACAAAACTGCGTCAGTCATCAGAAGTCCAATGAAGGATCTGGTGAAAAGGAGGTACCACTGACAAACGACTGACAGTGACAGGGTGGGCAGGAAGGAAAAAGATGCAACAGGTCAGATTGCCAGGCTTAGCAAATAAACAGAGGACACGCAGTTCAATTTGAACTTCAGGTAAACAAAATACTTCTACAGACTCTGTCCACAGAAAACCTCAACTTCCCCTCGAAGATAAGATTCTTTCTGCCTGTTTTGTTCACTGCTGTGTCCCCAGTGCACAGAACAATGCCTGGCACGTGGTAGGTGCTGAGTGATATTATCCATATCGATTAAGCGAGGTGGTATGGGCATGGGTGCTTGCTATGTAACTAACCTCTACCCATTTTGTATGTCGGAAATGGATCCTAATAAATTTTACAAATTACAGTATTAACTAACTGCTCTTACTTTCAAATCAGCACCTTTTATCCAGTCTAACTGAAGGACACACTGGGGAAGTCAGAATATAAAAGGACTTGTGACTCGTCCCTTACCCAACTGCAGCTCTAAGCAGGGACCTGAACGTGGGATGATCAGTCATCAGATGGCTTTGCAGCCGAGGGCGCGGTGTGGCCAGGTGGTGTTTTTTTTCAGCTGCTCTACTTTTTTTTTTGGCTTTATTCTTAAAACCATGAACAGTGCTTCCTTTGCCAGTGCCCTGACCCCAACTTCTCATGGGATTTCTTCTCAAGTTCTATGGAGCCCAAAGCAGTGATTTTTCAGGGGGATGGGTGGGAGGACCTCTTTTGGGCATAACATATTTAATATTATACTGTATCTTTGGAAAATAAAAATAAAAATCATACCAATTACTCCACATTTAAAACTCCTAGTAAACTACCCAAATAATTTATCTTTTTCTCAGGGGAAAGATTAGTAACAGGCCTTCACTAGCTGCCATAAAGCCTTCTTCATCCCATCTTAATCTGAGGCCTAAATTTCATTTCAAAAATAGTATATTTATAACGAGCATACACTTTTGCATTGTTTGAATTTGCCTTAAAAAACAACCAACAACAGTGGGTATTTGTTTTATAATACAAAATGGGAAAGGAAAAGGTAAAATTATTTTTATAAGCACAATCTTAGCTATGTGAAATATAGGGTGTTCCCCAAAAAATGTATACACAAACTTAGAATAATTATAAAGGCAGTGTTTATTAAAATATATTTCATTTTCAAAATTGAGCTATTAGCTGTTAAAGTATACACTGTATATACATTTTTGGGGGGACACCCTGTATATAAAATTTAAAGACTATATGAAATTACTACTAGTAATTCCTGCTTTATTTTTTTAGACAATGCTATATATCTATATTTTTAAATGTTCTATACTGAGCATCTTATATATGTATATGTGCTGCCATGTATATGCAGATACAATGTATATATATTTTGATAGCTGTAAGTGTGATTAAAGTAATTGTGTACGACTGAGCCTCTAATCAGATTTGCTTACAGGCTTGCTGAGGTCATGGTGACGAGAATAAACAAAAGCCTTCCCTTGCCTGGTCCAGATACCTGTGTACATGAACAATCCATACCCTGAAACCCAGAAGCCGCAATTAGAGAGCTTTCCTTCGCATTCAAACTCAGTGCCCAGGCCCATAGGCAGGATACAGGGGAAGAGGAAAGGTTATAGCTGGGTCGTCAGATTTCGGGAACAAGAGAAAAGAGAAATCTCAGGAGAAGTCAAGTTGGACAATGAATTAGGGACAAATGGAGTAGATGTCTAAACCCTTGAAGACAGATAGTGTCAGAGACTCCAGAGGGTGGAGGTTGGAATCCCCCCTCCCCTCCCCTCCCCTCCCCTCCCCTCCCCCAACTCCAAGCCCCACCTTCCTCTGAGCATGGGAATGGAAGTGAGGGCAGGGAAGGGAGGGCAGGGAAGGAAGATAACAGCATCGCTAGATTGAAACCTGCCCACAACTCTCAAGAAATTTCACAATGGACCCCCACCCTCCACCCTCTACCACCCCACCCACCCCCCACCCCCATCCCCAGGGCTCTGGATTCCTCAGAGAAGCATCGCCCCAGAGCTACACTCCCCACCAGCCCTAAATTAAAAGGAAAAAGAAAAAAAAAGAAATTCCACATGTTCCAGTCTCCTTCCTTATCAAATATTTCACTAGAGAAACCAGTAATAATCCTGACTTTTCTCACTTCACTTAGGTAACTTACTGAGCTTCGCAGAGTTACCACATAGGGATGATAGTGCTGGCGATGATGAGAACAATGTAATCGCACAGCGTCCCTGCGAGGATTAAGTATAATAATGCAGGCAAAGCATCTTGGTCACTGTAGTGTTCATTACATGTTAGATACTGTCATTCATATTTATTGCTGACAGCAGTCCTGAGCAAAATTTAGAGAAATCCCAAGAGAAGTTGGGCAGTAGAAAGGACAAGCAAAAGAATGGGCAAAATAAACAACTGACTTTATTTGGGTTTGGTTTTCGGCAAACTAAGCATTCTTGCCAGAGCAGATACTTCCAGCTCGGATTGCTGGAATAAAAAGTCACATATGTATACCGCATACAAAAATAAAACTCAAAATAGACTAAGGACTTAATTGGAAGACCTAAACCCACAAAACTCCCAGAAGAAAACATAGGCAGTAAACTATTTGATATCAGTCTTAGTAACATATTTTTGGGTATGTCTCCACGAGCAAGGTAAACAAAAGCAAAAATAAACAAATGGGACTTCATCTAAGAAGCTTCTGCACAGCAAAGGAAATCAACAAAACAAGAAGACAACCTACCGAACGGGAGGATAGATTCGCAAATGATATAGCCGGTAAGAGGTTGATATCCAAAACATGTAAGGAACTCACACAACTCAATAATGGAAAAATAAGCAATCCTATCAAAAAATGGGCCGAGAACCTGAAGAGACAGTTCTCCAAAGAGGACGTACAGATGGCCAACAGACATAGGAAAGATGCTCAACATCACTAATCGTCAGGGAAATGAAAATGAAAATCACAATGAGATTCCACCTCAGACCAAAAAGTCAATAAGTAACAAGTGTTGGCGAGAGGTGTCCTGCTGGAGGGACCAGAAATTGGAGCAGCCACTGTGGAAAACACTATGGAGATTCTCAAAAACTAAAACAGAACTACCATATGACCCAGCAATTCCACTTTTGGGGATTTACATAAAAAGGGAAAACACTAATTTGAAAAGATATATCTCCCCTATGTTCACTGCAACATTATTTACAATAGCCAAGATATGGAAGCAACTGAGGTGTCTGTCAATAGATGAATGGGTAGTGAAGATACGGTACATATTTACAATGAAATATTACGCATCAATAAAAAGGAATGACCCCCCCCCCCAACTTGCAACCACATAGATGGACCTAGAGGGTATTATGCTAAGTGAAAGAAGTCAAAGAAAGAAAAACACAGCATGATTTCACTTATATGTGGAATTTAAAAAAAAATCAAGACAAGAAACAGACTTCTACAAATAAGGAAGAAACTGATGGTTGCCAGACAGGTGGGAGCAGTGTGGGGTGGAGAGATGGGTGAAAAGGGTGAAGGGGAAATAGTCAATAACATTGTGATAAATTTGCACAGTGACAGATGGTTACTAGACAGTGTGGAGAGCACATCGTAAGATGTATAAACGTTGAATCACTAAGTTGTACACCTGAAACTAATGTAATATTGTCTGCCGACTACAATAAAATAATGATTGCTTTGGGGGAAAAAAAGTCACATACGTGGGCTGGATGTGCCCACTTCAGGTCTCTTCTTTCTGCTGTTACCTGTAAAAGGACCCCTCTTTGTTTTACAGTTTACATACTGCATTTGCTCTATAAATTTCCCCCAAATTTCATATAAGCAATATTGGGATACACAAACTATATAGGTCTCCACTGTAACCACGGCGAGAAGTAGAATGTGAGTCCTTATGGTTCAGAACATGGCTTGCTGCATATTCCCCTGGGAAAGTCACTTTGGAGAACATA